TCCCTGCCGAACTACTTAAACTTTTGGATGAGAAAAGGAAGGAGAAAGGAGAAAATTTACAACGAAGGAAAAATACCAGATTAGAGTCACTGTTTATAACATTACCAAAGAAAAGCAGGCCCACCAAATGCAGCGATTTTAGACTAATCAGTTTGATGAGTCACACACTGAAGATACTCTTACGAATGATACAAAACCGAGTATTCCTTCTATGCGAAATTAAGATGGGTGATAAGCAATTTGGATTTAGAAACGGTCTAGGAACTAGAGAGGCACTATTCTGTATGCGCGTTCTATTACAAAAAAGTTGTGAATTCCGAAAGAATGTTTATGTTTGTTTCATCGACTTCGAGAAGGCGTTCGACAGAGTCTAACACAATACACTTTTCGACTGCCTACGGGCAGCAGGACTTGACCCCTATGATATAAGACTGCTGAAATACTTATATTACAATCAAGTAGCCTCTATCCAAATTGGGGACAGTCCCACTGAAAAAATACCCATCAAACGTGGAGTACGGCAGGGTTGTGTTATGTCACCCACTCTTTTGAATCTGTACTCTGAAGAAATCTTTAGGGAGGCTTTGGATGACAGACAGGAGGGAGTAAGACTAGGTGGAGAAGTAATCAACAATATTAGATATGCTGACAATACAGCCATTCTTGCAGAAAGCTTACAAGATCTCCAAACATTACTAAATCTAGTCAGTGAAGCAAGTTATCGGAGAGGCCTAAAAATCAACATTTCAAAGATAAAGTGGATGGCAGTTGGAAAGATCCATATAGATCAAGGTCTGCTTTCTCTTAATGGAGAAGAGATAGAAAGGGTTAATCATTTCAAATACCTTGGCAGCTGGTTAAATGTAAATTGTGACTCTGATGAAGAGATAATATCCAGGATCGAAATATCACGTAAGGCTTTTATGACCTGGAAACCAGTTTTATGCAACAGAAACCTGTCAATGAATATTCGTAAGAAGGTCCTGAAATGCTATGTGTGGTCGATCCTATTGTATGGTTGTGAGACATGGACGTTAAAAACCACAATGCTAAACAAGTTAGAAGCATTCGAATTGTGGTGCTATAGACGAATCCTAAAGATATCGTGGGTTTCGCACACTTCTAATGAAGATGTTCTTCAAATGACCAATTCAGAACGTCTGCTTATAAACACCATAAAGAGGAGAAAAACAGAATACTTCGGCCATATAATTAGAGGACTTAAATACCATTTACTTCGCCTTATAATACAAGGAAAAGTGGAAGGAAAGAGATGGATTGGTCGAAAGAAACTTTCATGGCTGCGTAATATTAGACAATGGTGTGGTTCCACAGTAGAAGAATTATTTCGCGCAGCAGCCGACAGAGAAAGGTTTCAGGAAATTGTAAACATGATGACGGCCAACGTCTGAATACGGACACGGCACCCAAAGAAGAAGAAGAAGAAAAACATTCAAAACCCAGATGAGAATCACTACTTGGAATATCAGATCACTTAACTCAAGTAATTACTATTTAACTGGGAATAAGCCACAATTAAAGATTAAAATACGTTTATTGACGTTTCAATTTCCAATTCGGAAATCGTTCTCAAAATACAAACAGTAAATTAAACAAATTTTGTTTTTTGTTACATAGTGAAAAAATTCTTCTAATAATTTAATTTTATCTGACTCATTTATATTGACAATTCAGACATACATTATGCATTTTCTAGTAGACGACTTTAAAATGATATTGCCAATATAGTTGAGTTACGCTCCTGGGACGACTTTATTTATATAGTTCATTCACATTAGAATATCGTTTTCTTTTAAAAATTTGTGCATAATTTGGCATTTTGCTCTACTTATGCCTTCTATATTAAGTTGACAAACTCGTACGCTGAGTCCGAGTTCTTTTGTCAATTGGTCTTTAGAAGCTCTATTTGTTGCTAGTGTCATCTTTAATAACTTCAAAAAAACATTGTAGTTTCTTTCTGCCAAGAAATCTTGTGAAATAGTGTCTGGCACCTCTTGTGCTAGTTCATTTAGATTACCCAGGGTGCACGTGCAGTACTGCGGACGCGAACTAACCCTAAACCCCAAAATCCTAAAATTCACATACATGTTTACCCCCGAGAAGGGGTGGCGACCACTTAAGGTAAAAGCACCCTACGACACAGGGTCAACTTTGAAGTTGAGGGTAAGTAGAACCTATAGCCAAATTTTGGAGCAAATCAGTGCAGGCTCCGAAAATTATACAGTTATGCTGTATTTTACCTTCATTGACTGGAGTAGTGGAACTGTACCTCGTAATAGATTGGACCCATACAGTAATAAAAATATATAACTAGAATCTTTAAATCCATTGATATCTAATTATATGAATAACCAAAACAATATTAATTACACAGAATTTCATCAATAACTTTAGTTTTAGTAAATATTTGTCTAAAAAAATGGTTCATATATTTTGAGTTTAAAGTATTGTTACAACATGTCATATTTCATAAATTTTTATATGCGAGCATTAAAAGAGCCCTTTCAGCTTTTAATTTACAATATGCCATAGTTTAAAAAATTATATACCAAAGACTTGCGACACCTTCTTCATAAATATTTCTACCTATTCCCAGTAACTGGTTTTTATAATTTCATAGTAACGACATGGCTAATAAAAAACACATAAATATTTTTCTAAACCATTAATTCTTTTTGCCATAGTAAAATAACCAATTAATTCCAATTTTATATGGAAGTTTTTGATAAAGGTAATTCATTAAATCCCTTTCAAAACAAAACTTAAAAAAAGTTGAAACAAAAAACTCGAAAATGATGTTGCCTATGACAAGACCCATTAAAAATTTTATTTGGGTTCTATAATGAATGGTGCTGAATTTAATTGTTCTTCGATAATTTATGTCCAACTTTTTTAGTTTCGTTTCGCTCTTTGACGATTATTTCAACGCTGGTCTGATGGGATCTACCTGCCTCAACTCTAAATTTTAGTTCCGTTAAAATTAAAATTAAACATCAATTATGAACGGGTAGAGATCTGGAAGAAGCATTAAAATTCGGTTTTGTTTCTATCTAAAAATTATTTACGAAAGGTTGATTTATCGCTGAAATGTGTAATTTATATAATACTTTAGGATGGCGTTTTAATTCATTAAAGGATACGAGATTAATTCAGTCTGTGATTTACTAAACTTTGAGAAAAAATTAATGCATCATCAACATTTAAAAAAATCGTAGAAAATAATAAAATAATAATACAATAATAATAATTACATTATTAAATATTTTTAATAATTAAACAACAATAATCTGTGTGTTAAGTACAATGAAAATTACGCCAAGTACAGAGATCTGGAAATACAAATAAGAAGACAATGGAGAATGGAAAGTACCCAGCCGATGCCTATTATTCTTTCTAACACTGGAGTCATCCCGAAGAACCTCCTAGAAAACATAAAGAAGCTGGGTCTAAATGAACATCTATATCTTCTTCTTTTTGTGCCACTCCTATCGGAGATTGGAAATCATCAAGGCTATTCTGACCTTGTTTACGGCTGACCTAAAGAGTTCATTAGTGGTGCAGCCAAACCACTCTCTCAAATTCCGCAACCATGACATTCTTCTACGGCCTGGATTCCGTTTTCCTTCTATTTTTCCCTGCATTATATTTTGAAGTAATGCGTATTTATGTCCTCTCATCAGGTGACCAAAATATTCGAGTTTTCTTCGCTTTAGCGTTAACAAAATCTCTGGGTCTTTTCCTATTCTTCGTATTACTTCACAGTTTGTTATTCTTTCAACCCAACTAATCTTCAGCATTCGACGGTAGCACCACATCTCGAAACTTTCAATATTTTTCATGTTGTTCTGTTTGAGAGTCCAGGCCTCTACACCGTATAATAGCGTGTTAAATACATAGCCTCTCAGCATTCTTAATCGTAGAGGGATGCTTATATTTCTGTTGCAGAAGAATTTTCTCATCTTTATGAAGGTGGCCTTGGCAATTTCGATACGTCTTTTTATTTCACTGTTTTGGTCTCCAGTTTCGTTTATTAAAGTTCCCAAGTATTTGTAACTTGATACTTTTTCAACTTGAGTGCCGTTTATATCTACTAATATACGCTGATTGTGTCATGTTTTTACTGAAGACTATATACTTGGTTTTTTTAATATTGATATTTATACCATAATTATTGTAAGCAATATTTATGTCTGTAAGTAATCTTTGTAATTCTTCTACTGTTCTTGCAACTAGTACAGTGTCGTCCGCGTATCGAATATTATTTACAATCTCTCCATTAATTACGATTCCTCCGTTTACTTGTAAAAGGGCTTCCTGACAGATGCTTTCACTATATACATTAAATAACAGAGGTGACAAAATGCAACCCTGTCGTACTCCTCTACGTATTTCTATTGCTTGTGATGTTTCAGTTTCTATTTTGATGTTAGCTTTCTGATTCCAATATAGATTGAGAATTATTCGCAGATCTTTATTATCTATGTCCTTCCTTTCAAGAATCTCTCTAAGCTTATCATGGCGTACTCTGTCAAACGCTTTTTCAAAATCGATAAAACACGTATGTACCTCCTGATTAACGTCTAGGCATCTTTGTGTGAGAATATTCAAACCGAAGAGAGCTTCTCTAGCACCAAGCCCTTTTCTGAACCCCATCTGTGTATTACTAATATCTGACTCCAACTTTTGATAAACTCGGTTGTGGATGATTTTTAGAAATATCTTTAGTAGGTGGCTCATTAAAGATATTGTTCGATGTTCTGAACATTTTTTAGCATTAGATTTCTTTGGCAGTGTAACGAATGTAGACAACAGCCACTCTTGAGGTATAATACCAGTATTGTATATTGTATTAAATAAGTGCAATATTATACCTATTGATTCATCATTCAAGAGCTTTAGCAATTCGGTAGGAACCTCATCCGGTCCATTTGCCTTCCCAGTTTTGGAATTTTTAAGTGCCATTTCTACTTCACATTTTAGAATTTCAGGTCCCGTTTCGCCATATATCAGAACAATGTTATTTCTGTTGTCCTCAAATAATTCTCTTATGTATTCACTCCATCTATTAATTTTCTCTGTTAAATCTATAATATTCTTTCCATCTTTGTTCTTAAGCAAACTTATTTGACGTCTTCTTTGGGTTCCTGTAATTTCTCTTACTTTTTTATGTATATTGAACGTGTCATACTTTCTTTCATAGTTTTCCATTTCTACACATTGTTCTGTAATCCATGATTCTTTGGCATTTCTTATTCTTTGCTTTATGTTCTTATCAACCTCTTTGTATTTTTCTGCATTATTCTTCATTTTACGTCTTTCATTCATTAGTTCTAGAATGTCTGGTATCATCCACACCTTATGTTTCTTTGCAGATTTGGTTAGGTGTTTCTTTTCCGTAGTTCTTATTATAGTATTTATATACTTAAGTTTTTCATCTATGTTGTCTGTTATGCGGATTTGGCTTTCTGCTACACTGAGGCTGGTGTTTATTTCTTCTCGCACTGTTTGTCGTAGATGTTCATTTTTAAGCATCTATATAAGGTCATGCAAAAAGCTGTGCTACTTTCGACGTCCAGATGCGTGCGAAAATTTTTAGGAGATACACCGACGTACCAAGTCAACTAGGACTCGATAACATGGAAAGAGTCCCACCAAAGCTCAATCCTTTTGATACCGTAGTTATCTGGGATGAGTGAAATTTCCCCTTAGAGGGAGTGTGAGCCGTATGGCTAAATGTCGGAATAATAATAATAAATACGTCCATGACAGAATGCTTAAAAATGATAACTGAAAGCTATACTGGGACCGCACTGTGCTCACAGTACAACCAGTGGCACATAATAGACCGGATCTAATACTACTAGTTAATAAATATACTAGGCAAACAACACTTATTGATGTGGCGGTACCCAACACCAATAATTTAGTAAAATACAACTAAAAGATAGTACATATGTTTCTATCTACTACTGGTGTTATTCTCAAAAATCTCCTAGAGAACATACACCAGCTGAATCTAAATGAACATCTCTATTATAAAGAAATGCAGAAAGATGTACTTCTCACGACGCGACGCCCAGATATATTCGAAAATTTCATTATATTATACAGGATACGCAACATAATGTTAGAAAACTTCGAATTTCAGAACAACTAATATCTTAGTCAGTTTCAGCTTACAAGTTACGCAGTACCATCTCCAGAAGATACCAATCCCTAGTGTTGCCTAAACGTCGAGAATTAAGCTCAGAAGACAACGGCTTAACAGCCCGAACAGACAGTTTAACAAGTTAGACGATGGGCGTGAAACGTGAAAGCCTTTTAACAACTCATATCATTTTGATTTGCAAGATCCACGACCAGTCACATTGCTCTCGAAATGCTATCAAAAAATTAATGTGCTGTAAATGTGACTACTCATAAACTACAAATAGACAAGTAGATTAGCTCGTTAAACATATTTCCAAATACATTTTTTTATATTAAATATTTATATTAAAAGTGGGAAACAAAATGGACTGTGGTCTTCGTTCGGTAATTATGATAACACTTTTTCCAGTGTATCTAAGTACAAATAATTAATCGGTCATTACAAATTTTGTGTCTGTCTTCGTGTTAATGATGAAACTCGTCTTGGAAGTGCAAGCAAACTATTTGTACCGTGAGGCTTATCGCCGGTAGCTCGGGAGTCCCACAGCGTCGGTTGGGGGCCCCGCTGCGACAGTAGGCGCCCCCCGCTGATGCGACACCGCGCATCGATCGCGTCCTGGGGCTATTCTCCCTCCCGCTCTTCCCTTCCAACCTCCGCTCTCCTCTCGCACTAAGAGAATTTCCCGGTTTCGCCAATTTGGGACGTTTACTGGATTTCCACCGCGAATTACGCTCCGGAATTGATTATAGTGATACACACCCCGCTTGCTCTGGCTCTCCTACACACTCTCGGGGGATTTAGGAGTTTGTTGGTTAGTTATGCGGTTGATTGTTAGATCCAAGTAAACCTAAGATTTTTATCGAAAACTTAACGCGGAATATAAATCAATCTCCATTGAGTCCTAGAAAATTAACGGAAAACTTATTTTAAATCGATAGTAACGTCAGACCTTGACTGAAAACATAAATAACACTGTCCTTACAATATTGAAATTTTTTCTTTTGAAAGCACCATCTAACACGAATTCACGAATGACAATAATTCGTTATACTACAGGGTGCTTCGAAAAGGTTTGTCATCAATTAAATCACGCATTACGGGGACAAAAATAAATTAATTGAATCCAACTTACCTTAGTACAAACGTGTAAAAAAAAAGTTACAGCCCTTTGAAGTTACAAAATAAAAATTGTTTTTTTTTGCATTATCTCCTAAACTACTTGACATTTTCTAATAAAAATGTACACGTTACTTTCTCGTTTTAAAAGCATTTTTCATAAAAAAAAAACAACAACATCTTATCGTACAGAAAAATTCTAAGGGGGGTGTGCAGCCCTAATCCCCCAAACTTTTAAGTACGTTCAAATCAAATGAATTTTGTGGCATCATTAGTTTAACACATTATTTTTGGAGCATTGAATGAATTAGGTGGTCTATATAATATTGCGGAATATTCATCCAGATTCTTCTCATGGCATGTCACAGGTTTTCTAAGTTTGCTGGTGGACGAAGTAATCGATTTAGGTTTTAAGCTACCATATCCCAAATATGTTCGATGGGGACAAATCAACTGATATTAATGGCCGCTTCAAAGTCTCTATACCAAACACCATGGTTTTATGGATAGTACGAGGTCTTGCGGTATCTTGTTGAAAGATTACAATAAGCTCTTAGTCCCATTCCAAGTAATCGTTGATTAACTGTTCTTCTTGAGACTACTTTTTGTTCTCGGACGCGACTAGTTCACGTTCGAGACGCATCGCCCCGCCCCTTATTTTCCCGTTGGCCCCTCCCTGACCTGGAAATCCCTAATCGCTACTTCAGAAAGTATAAAATTAGGCGATTTTCAGGTCAATCAGTCAGTCCTTCACGGGCACTCCGAGAGCTTAGTGCTCTCGGGGCTCTGCTTCCTTTTTAGCTTTCCATACTCTGTGGCTGAGTATTATTTCTACTGTATTTTTGGTGTTTTATTTCGACCTATATATATTTGGTCATGTAAGAAATAACTTGCCTTTTTCAAGGCAAGACATCGAAGACAACAAACCTGATGTTTATTTCGACAACTATCATGTAAGATATTTGTCATGTAAGAAATCTCTCGTCTTTATTAAGTCTATTTTCTTTCATCAGGAAACAAAACATTTTGAAGTCCATACCCTGAAAATGGACAAAAGTAGAGGAGCTCACGATGTTTTCGAAGCCCCTTTACAGAGCACACGGTGGTACAGAAGGTGGCAAGACCCTTTCCATTTACCCCGAGGTGACATTTTCCTGTAGCTGCAACTAAACCACCTCTTACTTGATGTACACTGTCACGTCTATTTCTGAAAGCAAGAAGTCTAAGTTGGTGCAAATCAAAATTGCAATATTCTACTGCTTGTACACTGCTTCTACTATGCTCATACAACTACAAGCAAGACCAATCGACATCAATATAATTCAAGTATATGCACCTACAACAGAAGGAGCAGAAGAAGAGATAGAAGAACTATACCTTAGCATTAATCAAGTCGTGAAATGGTTAAAAAAGCAAGATTTAACAATTGTCATGGGTGATTTCAACGCCAAAGTTGGAGCCAGCAAAACATCATCTGCAGTTGGATCATTTGGTCTAGGAAACCGGAATGATCGGGGAGATACATTGTAGATTTTTGCGGAAGCAAATCAATTAGTAATAATGAACACCTGGTTTAAGCTACACCCAAGGAAACTGTACACCTGACAAACTCCACAGGATACTGTGGGAGAGATTGTAAGAAATCAGATCATGTACCAGTTGTAGGTAATTTCAAATTAGATTAAACAAGGTTACACGTAAGTCGATGAAGAAGTATGATTTTATAAAACTGAAAGATCAAAATGTTCGACTGAAGGTGAGTGGAAACCTCAATACAAGGGTGCTAACATGCAAAAATGCAAAAACTATAGAGGAAAGTCTGACCATCATACAAGAAACAGTGAGAGAAATAAAAGAACAACACCTGAAGAAAGAACAGACAAACAACACAGAGAAACCGAAATCGTGGATTACCGATGAAATACTTGAGCTTATGGATCAGAGGAAAAAAACCAAGAAAATCTCCAAGAATATAAGAGAATACATACCATCGTCAGAAGAAAAATAAGAGAAGCCAAAGAGAAACAAAAAACAGAACAATGTCAAGAAATAGAAGAGTATCATAGTCGATATGATAACTTCAATGTCCATCGAAAGGTGAAGGAAATAGCTGGATTGTTTCGAAAACGCAACAGCGGAAAAATAACAGATAAGGCAATCTTGCCATAACCAAAGATGATAAAAAAAAGTGTGGGAAGAATACTTGGGGAAACTTTTCCATGACCTTAGAACAATACCAAGAGCCCACCATTGAAGAAAATTCAGGTCCCGAAATCCTACCAGAAAAAATAACGGCAGCCGTCAGACAAATGAAGGATGGAAAGACACCGGGAGTTGATGAAATTCCTGCAGAACTGCTGAAGCTATTAGATGCAGAACAAATAAAAATAATAACTGAAATATTTAATGAAATATACAAGGTAGGAAAAATACCAGTAGAGTGGCTAAAATCGGAGTTCGTACCGTTGCCCAAAGAACCAAGAGCAAAAGTTTGTGAAGATTATAGGACAATAAGCCTAATGAGCCATCTGCTGAAGCTGTTTTTAAAAGTCATCCACAAAAGAATTTACCGGAAATGCGAGGAACAAATTGCGCCCAATCAGTTTGGATTTGTGAACGCCGTTGGTACGAGGGAAGCTTTATTTAGCGTGCAGATATTGTTTCAGAAATGTAGAGATGTCAGCTGTAATGTTTTTGCACGCCTGATTGACTACAAGAAGGCTTTCGATAGAGTCAGGCATGAACAAATGATAGAAGTGCTGATAAGGACAAGGATTGATGGAAGAGACTTAAAAATTATAGCTAATCTGTATTGGAGTCAATCAGCGGTACTCCGAATAGATGGAGAATATACATATCAGGTCAAAATCTTAAGGGGAGTGAGACAGGGATGCATAATTTCACCACTGATATTCAATCTGTACTCGGAGCACATTTTTGAAGTGGTCCTAAAAGATATTGATGACGCCATCTCAATAAATGGAGTCAAGCTCAATATCCTACGGTATGCAGATGATACAATAGTGTTTTCCAATGCCATAGAAGGGCTGCAAAACTTAATGAACAAAATAACGGAAACAAGTAGAAAATATGGACTGGATATAAACATCAGCAAAACCAAGTTAATGAACATCAACAAGAAAACTATAACTGGGGCAAATCTGTATGTGAACCAAATGAGAACTGAACGTGTCTCACGATACAATTATAACTATAATCAATGAGTCGTGGGACAATACCCAAGAGATTAAATGTTGCATCGGAAAGGCCAAATGAGTTCACCCTAAAAACCAAAATAAGGCTCCTTAAATGTTACGTGTACTTAGTGCTTCTGTATGGAGTAGAAACATGGACATTGAAGGCGTAAACTCTATCAAAACTTCAGGCTTTTGAGCTATGGTTATACAGAAGAATCCTGAAGATAGCACGGACAGACAAAGTCACCAATGAAGAAGTACTGCGAAGGATGAACACAACCGCGGATTTGGTCAACATCGTAAAGAGCCGTAAGCTGGACTACTTGGGACATATAATGAGAAATCAAGGCAGATACGATCTACAACAATGCATTTTCAGGGTAAAATTGAACGAAAAAGAGCCCCAGGACGAAGAAGAATATCCTGGCTTGCTAACCTGAGAGCATGGTATAGAAAGACCTCAACACAGCTATTTCGTATAGCAACCAACAAAATCATCATAGCCAGAATGATCGCCAACGTTCGGAACGGACAGGCACCCCAAGAAGAAGAAGATCCAAGCGCTCCACGATACTGATAAGTCTCATCATTGAACCACCTCCTCCAAACTCTTAACACCACACGTTGATCTATTAAACCAAAACCAGCTTGTTACATGAAATACAAATATTTGTATTTTCAGAACGATTTTCGAAGTGGAAATTGCAACGTCAATAAACTTATTTTAACCTTCAATTGTGGCGTATTCCCAATCAAATAGTAATAGGTAAATAATAGAGTATTATAATTTGTAAAAGTGTACATCTCTTTATTTTAGCGAGAAAAAGGACGTAGCATGATAAATAATCGTGTACAGAAAAATAGTGCTCCCACTCCCAAGTTCGTAGCGTTTTCACCTTCATTGAATAATAAAACATCAACTTGACTTATGTGTGAAGAACTAATAAGGACTCAGAACTGACTGAACAATAAATAAGGACTTTTGGTTATGAACTTTTATTTTGTGCGATTGGTATTATTTGTTGTTCGTGGATTTGTATGGTAAGAATATCACAATATTAAGATATTTACTACGAATGTTCATAATTTATGGTTATTTTATTGTTTGATTAAAACTTTAATTATTTTTTAACCGTATTTCAAAGTATTTTGTTGTTGTTTTTATCAGGTTTATTTTAAAATAAATCATTGAATTTATTTACGAAGTTGAAAAATATTTAAATTATTGTTTTATTCTTTTTTCGTTGGCAGTGATTTTATCCTGTAAAAGACTAAATATATTCGTTTTCTCGTAGTTTAGGTTGTTATATAACATTCTTTGAAAACATATCTATCAAATTGCCATAATGAGTGTTTAAAAAATTTTGGAATAGTTTTTGAGTATATTTTTAGATCCAGGCATAACGGCTAGTAAACATGTATTAAAGATATCCAGTATCACTGAATTTTTCAATGACAACAAAACTACTATTAACTATTTAAACTACGAGAAATCTAATATATTTAGGCTTTTTTGGGATAAAATCACCAGCACTAAAAAAAGAATAAAATAATAATTTAAATATTTGTAAATAAATTCAATGATTTATTGATTAATTTTAAAATAACCCCGGTAGAAACAACAACAAAATTCCTTGAAATACAGTAAAAAAGAATTAATATTTTAATCGCAAGTTTTTGTTTGTTTATCAAACAAGAACATAACCTTAAAATGTGAATATTTAAAGTCAATATCTCAACACTTTAATATTCTTACCTCACAAATTCACAAACAACAAATAATACCAATGGCACAGAATGAATATTCATAACCAAAAAGCATTATTTATTCTTTAAACAATCAAAAAACCAACATTTCCAACTTCTTTTGGGACAAATACACACAAATTAGAAGTGTTTGGAAAGGTTTTTAAAACCCCCAGCCTATTGTGAAGTCAGAGCTTAGGTAGTCCAAACCTAAGAGTATTTCACATTTCACGATTGAATTATTTGTTTACAGAAAACTATCAGACGCGCGTATTTTATTGCATTTTAAATATCATTCGTTACTTTTATCTATTATCTTAAAACAACAATCATGGCACATGCTCAACCTACAACAAAAAAACTAAATTAACTTATCTTAAACTCATAACTTATCGCAACAAGCATTCAAATTGATCTGACAATAATTGAGTATGATTTACTGGTATACCTACCCTGTAATCTGCATGAATTTCCATATCATAGACCATGACCATGATATTTTCCGTAATAACCATATCAAATGTAAAGTCCTTTGGGATCTAAGGCGGGGAGAAAATCATCTCATGGTTAATTTGCCGATCAGAAGGGAGACGCACAGGGGTGCCTTTTTCCAGTTCAGTATCCGAATGTTTTGGTTTTTCGTTTGACATTAAATGTAGATTGCAACTAGAGGAATGAATTATATTCACGTGTATTTTTATGTTTTTATTTGTTAAAGGTGTAAATACGTATTATAAAGTTAATTAATTATCCAAGGTCGTTTGTTAGATTTGTTTACCAAAAATAAAAATGGCAAAGTTGAAAGTCATTTCTTGAGAATTAGGTATTTTGTATGATCTTGAAAGATGATTGGTTGAAAAAAAAGACTAATAGAAAGAGATTTTGATATTTGGAAGATAAGAATGAGGTTATTTGTTGCAAATCCTGAGAAGTAAACTAGTGCCGGCAATTTTGAACAATAGGTATACCTACTCATCTTTACCTATATTTTGATGTGCTGCGTCGATAACCGTATTTTTGAATGTATTATTACACATACTGTTCATGTTACTAATACATTTACTGTTTGATTTACAACTATTATTTTTATATACCACTACAGTTGTCACCTGATAATCCGACAGGTATGGGACGAAAAGGGTGTCCGATTTCCAAAAGTGTCTAGGTTACCGAAAGTTATTATATAGTTAGCATTGTTTTGCTAGTTGTAGCCTAAAATATTTTTAAATTTTATGAGTACAACGCTACCCAGATTAATATGCAAATGAAACACCCAATATGGGTAATTAAAACATGTGTGTTAAAATATATATAACAGCACTACAGGTCTTATAGGCTCCTGGCTTTTAAAAACTTGGTTATTTCCCCTTCATTTTTTTCGACCCCTTGCTTTCTCTCTCCAATTTCTCTCGCCTATTTCTGACAAGTCTTGCTTTACTGTTTCCAACCACTTCTTCTTTGGACATTCTCTTCTTTTTTCCCCATGTCTCCCTCCTTCAGTATTGTTTTAACATCGCTCATTCGGAATGTATCAGAAGTCTGGAGTGTCTTAACCACGACCTGATTCATTTTTAATTCTTTCGCAATCGACTTCAGAAGCTGTAGCTTCAGAGTAATCGACTGGACTGATATGTGATCAAACCTTGTGCTAGCTATCTTCATTTTGTTCTCTGTAGCAAATTCTAGTAACTTTTCCCGTTTTCATTTGATTCCTTATGTAAAGAGCGTCCCCTGTTATTCTTCTATATATTTCCTTTGTTCCGACTTTCGCATTCATGTCACCAATGATTATCTTTAAATCGTATTCCTGTATATTCCCTATAAGGCCTTAAAAGAAATATGAAAGCTCATAAATTTAATGTACATACAGTGTGTAAATAATGTAATACATGGCTTATGCGATTTCTTGTTTAAACAGTCCGTCATTGCTTTTTCTTGTATCATGTGCTCTCTCCTCGCAACCAATAGCCAGTTGTTTGCACAAGCCCTGTACTTCTCTTAATTCTGATGAATTAGTCATAATCGTTGCAAATTTTAAGGGCAGCATCTAGTAGGACTTGCACAGGTTGGTCATTGTATTCTTTATTAACTTCTATTGGAAGTAGTGGGTTGTTGGGCCAAATATTCTTCCACGATTTAATCAATCTAGTAGGCTTGACTTGCTGCCATGCAAATGCATCATTGTTAATTGCATCTTTGATGTTAAAGTTTTTCAAAATTAAAGTGATGTCAGCGTTAGGTTGACTTACAATATCCACAAGGAGTTATTTCTTTTAGTGTGCCTTGAAAATTTTATTAACGTTTTGATCCATGGGCTGAATCAATGCAGTAGTATTTTTCCGTAAGTACATTGCCTAGATATATCCATCGGCAGTTTCGATTTTTAATTCTTTTTTATCAGAATGTCCACGAGCATTGTCTAATATGAGGAGAGCTTTCACTGGCAGTTTCTTTTTTCTTAGTTCATGTTTAACTTATGGGACAAAGCTGTTCTTGTACCAATCCAGCAAAACTTCTTTTGTCACCCAAGGCTCGGCTTTGCCACATGTACTTAATTGGTATAATTGGTTATTGGATTAGCAATTACAGTTTGTGGGATCCTGATGCATTCGCTCATACCATAAGGGTAAAACGTTCTTTTTGAAGCTTTCTATAACAATTTTTTTTTCGTTTGAAGTGACAAATGTCTTTATGGGAAGTTGCCGCCAGTTTAGATCGGTTTCATCAGCGTTATAAAGTTGTTCAGGAATTAGGTCTAATTCGGTAATCTTTTTGCTTAAATTCTGAATAAATTCAGATATCTCAGACACATCTGCACTTCACTTATCTCCATTCATCTACAAAAATCGTATTCCGTACCGTTTTTTTTTTAAGTTTTCGAACAAACTTTGATGTTCAGTTTTCTTTGTTGGTTCCTGATAAAAAATTGAGCTTTATTTTCTAAAGTGTCACTGAAATAGGAGCTTATCTGCTTTATTGTTGCTTAAACCATATGTCCAGTTCAACATCAGGAAATTCACTCATTGTAAGGGTTTTTCTATCCTTAGAATCATTCTCTACAGATTTCATAAATTTTTCGATTTTGTCTTTGTTTTTCTTAATGTCGTACACTGTAGCTCGTCCAATATCTTAAAAATCTAGATACCGCAATCGGAGTACCACATTCGGCCGGCAAAGTGATGGCGACTGTTTTCTGGGATGCGAAGGGCATTATCCACATCGACTACTTGGAAAAAGGAAAAACAATCAATGGTAAGTATCACGCAGTATTATTGGATCGATTCGATGCTGAATTGCGTCGAAAAAACCCCGGTTTGGAACGCAAAAAAGTGCTCTTTCACCAAGACAAGAGCTCGAGGAAAAGTACCTACTATTCGGATGGGATAAAAAAATTGGAACATCGTCTTAATAAGTTAGTCAAAAAATTTCTATCAAGGGCTAGTTTTATATCAATCCACCCCTTACCAACAATGGATTCGACCTTTCTGTGACCACTTTAGCAGTCTCTTAAATATTGTTACGCCAGCTCATACTACGCACCTGATCGAATTTTCAGACTAAAGGCGACATTTTTTTAAATTAACAACCGTCGACGGGTAATATAAGTATGTTTGGAGTGTTTTATACCTTTATATAATTATTTTAAAAACATATTTAACAAATTAGAGACACATTTGTTCATGGGTATAAAGAGTTTACATTAAAATATTTTAATTGTCGCCGATTTTGTTGATTTAATGAGATAGTTTTATTTGAATATTAAACTAACCTGCAACCATTTTTCTATTTAGTCCGATCCTGCCATTGTCATTCCTTAATGTAAATATCAGCAAGGGACAATTTCAAGCTCTTTTAACCACGGACTGACAATTAATGCGTAATTTAGATATGTATCAAGGCTAGGGTGGGCGCCCCGTATGTAGCTGAACGTGTGTTTCGTTATGTATTTTCGGTTTTAAGTGCTTATTTTAGCAGAGTTACTTCACGAAGTGACATGTGTGCACAAAATTAAAAAGTAACCGACCACGAAAATGATCGGTCTGGAAACAAATCAATTTTATCGTCGTTTTCAAAGGGCGGAGATCATTATTCTTTGATTTAACAGCTTTCAAGATTAACAACCTCTATTTTAATATCGTTCTAAAAACTGATCTTACATTGTTACATATATATATATATATATATATATATATATATATATATATATATTGTAGTTCTAAAAACAAAATAAAATATTACATATAAATAATACATATTACTGACACTTTATAACATGTTCTAAATGAGCTCCTCCTCTCTCAAGGCAGACTTCATACCGATATTCCAGATTTTTCGTAATGTTATGGAATAAAGGTTGTCTCAAATCCACGAAAGGCTCTAACGGCATGCTTTAACTCATTGATGTGCAGGATAGGGGAAGTCAGTAAATCGTGAAATGAATTTTTGGAAAATATCCCTGAAGAAATTGACGAACTGCGACGAGTTCCCCAGACCAAGTTCCCCAGTCCTGCTGGAAAAATTGGTCTAGAAATGCCAAATTACATACACGACAAAATTGACGTAGATCAGGGATAAAGCGTATTAAAATTTGTATGTACCTCTTGTATATGAAAAGGTAAAGGTAAAGGAACCTTGCAACGAGACTATCTCTTCTTTTTCTCTATGTGTGCAAAGTCGCAATGGCAACTTAAAAACGAGTAGCCTGAAACAAGGTATTTTTGTTCTATTTCGTCAATAAACCCTTCTGCGATCAGATAAAACCATAAGTAAAGCAACATCCAGTTTTTATTTTGTGCGCCGCAATTATCACTCCATACCATCAATTTACGTTTTGGTGTAATTTTGCAGCAACGCACTGCTTTCAATATTGCAAATGCAATTTCATTTCCACTCCTACCTGTTTGTCCTTCATGCCACAAAAAAGTAAAAATGCCATTGTTGTCTCCGATGTGAATACCAAAGTTGTAAACACTCAGTTGCCTTAAGTAGTACATTTTACTGTGTATTAGAGCAGGAAGACTAAAAACTTGTTGAAGGTCCAGACTAAACGTACAAACATCCGTATTGGGCATTTGCGACTTCTTGTGATCATTATCCATTTCTTTTCTTGCCTTCTCAGCTTTACGATGGTGTAATTCTAAGCGATATTTCCCATTTAGGTTTGTTGGATTGATCTTCATCGACGCATGAAG